GCTTTTTTTCCTGCCCTTCCTCCTTGGCCCATCCATCTACTCCCCTGGGACTTACGCGTTTTGGGGTGGAGATGAGCTCCCCCCCTCGCCCCTGGGTGCTGTAGCTGTGTGGAGGTGTGAATGAAGTCCAAAGGTGGAGCCCAGGGCTCAGGGCAAGGCCGCAGCCTGGGCTGTTCCTGGCTCTGGGCCTGGGGTGTGAGTGTGTCTGTGTGTCTGTGTGTGTGTATGCAGGTGGGGGCGCCTGATAAGCTGGGAGGAATTCGAAATAACAAACCTTGTTTTTGAGACCACTGGTTCTTTTCGTTTGTAGAACTTATGCACAACACAGGGTTTCTTCTTTGAATGCAGGTGATACCCTGAACGCCCAGCACGAGCCCGAAGAGGCCATGAGAAAGGAGAAAAAGTCAGAAGCCCTGAATATCAGAGGTAGGGTTGCCTTTGGGTCCCTTGGAAGGAAACCCTTTTTCAGGGATACACGTGGACGGCGCTGTGCTCCCCGGCTTTCTGTGTGCCTTTGAACCAGGTGTGCGAGGAAGGAGGCAGGCTCCGGGCGTAGACTCTGACCCCGTCTCTTGCCTCATCGCCGCATTGATTCCGAGGGAGACACTCATTGCTAATGACTGACCCTTGGTCATTTAGAGCCACCCGGATGCCTCCTGCTCGGGAGCCCCGCTGGTCGGTGGCACGTTCCCGTTTCTCTTGATTTTGCCCACCTGTGGATATGACTAACCTAAAATTCAGCCTATTTTTATTTTTAAAAAAAATATATACTTTTTTGCCCGGCCGGGCGTGGCTCAGTGGTTAAGCATCGACCTAGGATCCAGGCGATCAGGGTTCGATTCCTGGTCAGGGCACATGCCTGGGTTGCGGGCTGCAGCGATCAATGACTTTCTCATCATTGATGTTTCTATCTCTCTCTCTCCCTCTCCTTTCCTCTCTCTGAAATCAATAAAGATATATTTAAAATATATATATATATATACTTTTTGATTTCAGAGAGAGGGAGGGAGAGAGAGAGAGAGAGAGGAACATCAATGATGCAAGAGTCATTGATCGGCCACCTCCTGCATCCCCCTGCTGGGGATCGAGCCCGAAACCTGGGCGTGTGTCCTGACTGGGAATCGAACCGAGATCTCCTGCATCCTAGGGTGATGCTCAACTGCTGAGTATGACCCTGACCCTCTCGCTATTTATGGTCTAGAGGAGGAGACCATCAGAGGGTATCGGACTGTCTCAGGCAGTGAAAATGACACGAAGGGCGTGTAGGAAATACCTGGTCTTCCTATTTTTATGGTGGCATTTTGCAGGGCCCTGGAGAGGTTAAACCTTCGATCTTCAGTTTCTCCTGGGGACACAAGGGGTGTAGCCCCAACGTTTTGAATTTCCTTTGGTGGCTCGGGATAGGGGTGGGGGATGCGGTTCTGTTTTCTGCAAAGATGCCATTTTTTTTTTTTTTTAATTAGAATCCATCCTGCTGTCCTAACCCAAAAGAAAACAAAAAGCAGCGGGTCTTCACGGACGCGGGGCCCCGAGTCACACCGCACCGCGTGGCTCCCGCGCTTGGACCTGTGCGTCAGTGGCCTTGCCTTCCTCCCCGCAGGTGTGCTTTTGCACGTGATGGGCGACGCCTTGGGGTCGGTGGTGGTGGTGATCACGGCCACCGTATTCTACATGCTGCCCCTGGACGACCAGGTCCCGTGCAACTGGGAGTGCTACATCGACCCCAGCCTGACGGTCGTCATGGTCGTCATAATTCTGTCCTCCGCCTTCCCGCTCATCAAGGAGACCGCCGTCATTCTGTTGCAGATGGTCCCCAGAGGGGTCAACATGGAAGAGCTGAGTAAGTCAGAGGGGTCTGGTCCAGGGCCAGCGTTCTTCCGGAGCAGTAGGGACGCCCGTCGGATGTTTTGTAGCCTAGGGACATGAATCACAGCTCCGAGGACCGAAGGTCCTGTGCAGCCCGTGAGCCTGTGACTCACCTGCACAGTGTTTTGAGAACGGAGCGCCCAGGTAGCACCTGTTCCTGGGCTGCCTGCCTTCGTGCCGAGGATTGATTTTCACTCAAATAAGGCCACTCTGCCGAGATCTCGATTTTTAGTCTCTTTCTGAAACCTTGAGTCACTTGTGTTTTAGATCCCGCTTTCTAGTGAATTGATTTTTGAAAAAAATATTTTTTATGGATTTTTAGAGAGGAAGGGAGGAGAGAGAGAGAGAGACATTGACCGGCTGCTTCCTGCACCGCCCCCCTTACTGAGGATCGAGCCTGGAACCCCCAGGCATGTGCCCTGACCAGGAACTGAACCAGCAACCTTTCGGTGCACAGGGTGATGCCCAACCAACTGAGCCACACCGGCCAGGGCTCTGGTTAATTCATTTTTATGGGCACTCAGGTCACTGTGTCTCTTATAACTGTAAAAAGGACAGTATTTAAAATTCAGATCACTCATTGAGATCCTCATTCCATTATAAAATCTGTTTTTTTTATGTGTGCGTTACTCAAACAGAAGGTCTCCCTTTAGTTACGTGCATCGGAGGGTAAAAGTTTTAGCAACTTGGTGGAATTTCTGCATGGGAACCAGCCAGCCGTTGGTGAGGAACTGAACGTGCCACTTTATTTCTAGTGTTTCTAAATGGAGATTGTGGTTCTGTAGAGAAAGGCGTTCATGCAGATTTGCAGTTGTTCTGCCTACCAGTGAGCCGTGAACATGGAATACAGCCCGGTCCTCTAGGAGGCTGGGAGTTGGAAGAACTCGTTTGTTGACAAGTACCTGAAATCAGATTTAAATGGATGTTAACTCACTCTTTGGCCACGGCCAGACGTTCCCCTTCTGAAGGTGTGACGTGCGGTGTGGCTGCTCTGTCTGTGAAGGTCACTGCCCCCGACAGCCCTCTGTTCAGTAGCAGCATTGGGACCAGTCGCACCGGCCATTGCCATCAACTGTGGCTCCTCCTGCGATCTTTCCCCCAGATGTTCTGTTTGCTTTTTTGGGGGGGCCTCTTCTTTGGCAGCATTGGTTAGTTTACAGTCTCTGAGAGGCAGTTAGGTGTCGAAATAACCATTCTCCATTTCCTGCACCTGCTCAGCCCAATGCCGCAGGCAGATTGGGAGGAGACACTGAGGAGCAGATTATCTATCTATCTCTATCATCTATCTATCTATCTATCTATCTATCTATCTATCTATCTATCTATCTATCTATCTATCTATCTATCTATCTATCTATCATCTATCTAATCTAT